ACTGCAATCGGCAGATCAACTCGCTTCCTCGTTCCAGCAGCAGCGGGGTGTCACCGGTTATTGCAGCTGCTTCGCTTTCTTCGGCCCTGATCAGCTGATGGTTTCTGCGGCTAATAAACCGACTAATGCTATTTTGGTGTGAGAGAAAAACATTTTACCAACAGAGCCGTTCGTCTTTATATTACCACAGTACCAATCAGTACTGGTATTAGTCATGGGAGACGATGAGATTGTCCTCGATGGATCGACCATTGTTGTACAGTATTGTTATGTAGCGCATCTCTGCTGCAGGTCATCGCAACAAAGAAGATACGATGTAAATTTCCCGAGAGAAGCCGTAGCAATCAATCAGTGGAAGTGGAGGCGCGTGTGTGTATACATACTTTATCATATATATATTCTTGCTAAGGTACGCATCGGATACACACACAAATGCCCATATATTCCTCTCGTCTTTAATCCTGTACTCGATCCAATCGAGCTCAGCTTTATACTATATACCGGTGGCCCGTAGGAAGCAGCACTATCAGATAGTTCTGCTTGCCTGTCTACCTTTTTTTCCCCAATCTTTTTTTAGCTTCGAAAGGCCTCCTAACATCTTCAAATATCTTGGGCTGCCACTTACGCTCACCCGTTCGTGAAAAGTGGACTGTCCCGACTCCCGACGCCTAGCAGCGCACCGGCGGCGGCGGCAAGGGAGCTAGGCTGCTTTCCCCCGCTGCCGCTGGTCGAATACACTCATTTAGCCCCTTCTTGACGGCGCTCAAAGCACCTAACGACATCCTCGAAAGAAGACACATCCTATGGGTCGCGGCGGATAATCCCAGGGGAAAAGTGTAAAGGCTTGTTCGGTTAGCTTGGAATAGGCTAGAAACCATTTCATTTGAAGGAAAGATTCCTAGAGGACCGAACGAGCCCTAAGGAGAATGGGTGACGGTGCAATCGTTCAACCACGCTTTGGGCATCCTGAACCTGAATAAGTTGACGAGAGTGTTCCGACTATATATGATAGTCACCGAGGAAGTGAGTTTTAGCTCAACTCTCATCAGCTCAAGTGTAGCCATGCATTTTCATCACCTCTAGCTGTAATGGTCATGTCTCAGCTTGCTTTGCGTCGACCATTATTAGCAGCAATTGATCCTTTGCCTTTTTTCCGAACCGGTCTTAAGGGAAGACACAAGACAAGGCTCTCCTACAAGCTACTACAAGTACTACAACACATGACCTGACATTTGCTTTCGGGGCTGATTGTAAAGTAGGATGTCCATTTGCTTGCAGGATCGGAGCCCATATGATTGGGAACATGCGCATTTGTGACCACCAATGGCAATGGGCTTTTTAGGGTTATGAAAAATAAAAAAGTTGGCACCTTTTCCTGGTATCTTCTTTGTTCCTCTATTTTTTTGTGAAATATATAGTACCTTTTCCTGATGATGTCTCAAAGAGGTTCTCTGCCTATATACGAAAGTAAGGCCATATATATTAGGATAATGATGATGAATTAACAGGATCCAAGTACTACGCTGCAAAGGATAACAGTGATGCTATGCTATTTGTTTGTTTATAGAAGGAAAAAAAACAGCTAAAGCTCAGGGTTGGTGAAATTTATAAACCATACTGACGTGGGATTCTGCTTGATATCCGGAACTAAAAAAAACAGAATAGTATGTTTTTCTTATCATTGCACATGATAGTACGACTATATATATAAAGCTCATGGAACCAACGTACTACACTATGGTGAGTCTGAGCGTCCATGTATAATTCTTCTGACCCCTTAGGGTGTCGCTAAAGTGTGTTGTATTAAACATTTTCTCTACCTTAATACAAAGACGCGCAAACCTTTTGCGTGATCGAGAAAAAAAAAGAAAAAAAAAGTACTATATAGCTCATGGAACCACTATCTTCAAGGAAAATACGTTTACGTTATTTTTCGTTTGTCCTTCCACATTTTGTTTCCATTCTCCGTCGTCTTCCCCTCTCCTTTCTCCCCTCCTCAATCCCATACCGCAAGTGACTTAGACTTACTTTCCTCTGTGATTTGGGCAGGTTAGTTCAAAACCTTCACATATCATGGGTCTCCAAATTAAGATTCTTAATTCGGAAGCATGACACGGCGAGCAATGGCGTGTACTAGTTAGATCTTAGAATGCTACAGCAGCAGAACAAGCTCGAGTTGCCTGAGTAAATCGAGCAACGTATAGCGATGCAACCTCCATGGTCCATGCCCATCAACAACTAGAGATTCCGTGCAATCCTTGGGTAAAAAAAATCCATGACTTTTCTCTCGGAACCTTACCACACTTGACACTCTTTTTCTTCATTCTTCGTGGCCTTCCCCCTTCTCTTTTCTCCCCCTCCTCAACCCCATTCCGCTTTCCCTTGTGATTTGGGCAGGTTAGTTCGAAACCTTACCATATCATGGGTCTCGAAAGGTTCTTAATTCGGAAGCACAACAGAACGAGCTATGATTGTATACCTCTGTGCCCATCAAGCAGAATGCAACATACAGCGATGCAACAAAAATAAGCGCTTAGGATGCAACAGCAGCAGGACAAGCTCGAGCTGCGTGCCTAGGTAAATCGAGCAACATACAGCGACGCAACCTCTCTGCGCTGTGCCCATCAAGCAGAGATTGCGACCCATGGCGTGCAATCTTTTAGACTTTTCTCTCGGAACCTGCCTTGCCTACCCGCCATATCCGTCCACGCGGCCCATGTGATGATGTGAGGCGGGCACCGGAGCGCGCACAGTAACAGGGGGAAGCGCGACTGAGTGGCAGGCAAGCCGGTACACGGGAGGGGTGGGTCGACGCGCACGCACGCTCCACCCGACTACCTATCCAGCCATGATGCATCCATCCATCCATCCCTGATCGACAGACAGCTCGAGACGCTTTGCTTTGCTTTGCTTTGCACGAGTGGCTGCGAATAATCGCCGCGCCGGCACGACGGGAGGGGAGGGAGGGGAGACGACGGACGGGCGGGCGGCCACCCTACATGGCTGCCTTTTGCCGCTGGCCGAGCACGGGGCCCATGCGCCTGAAAAGGGCGAAACGATCGGCGCGGGGTGGCTCGCGGTCACGGGAAAAAGCCGGGGAAAGTTGCCGGCCGTTTCGGCAGGCGGGCGTATCATTCGGGGATTGGCCAGCCCCCGCCCCCGCCCCCGGCGCCGGCGCACAATTTCCCGCGGGGGATGGGGTGGACGATCCGATGCCATGCCCGACGCGGGCGACGGCCGGCGCCCCAGGCAAGTTGTGGGATTTCGCTTCTCGAGGGAACGGAATTACGGGGGCGAGGGGAGGTGGATTGCCGCGGAATGGGATGGCCGTGCGAACGCGAACTTGAAACGGTACCCGTAGCCGTAGGTATGGGACGGGGCTACCGCAACGTCACATGGCACTAGCGTCGAGTCTAGCTTTGATTTGGCCGTAACATCCGGTTTCGTCTGGAGCTCGCGGGCAATCGGGCGGGAGTCCCCTCCCCTCCCCTCACCTCACCTGTGACTATAGAGCAAGGTTGACCTATCCAGAGGAGAGGAAATTGATGGTTTCTTTCGGCGAAGTTCTCGAGCTCTTGCGAAGTGTAGACCGAGCCTAAACGTGGAGATTCCTGGCGCCAACGAGCCCAAAAGGCCACGACTGAGATGAGCGAAAGCTTTGCGCGCTTTAGTGTGGGCGTCGGCCCAATACTGCCAAACCTCAAACGCGGGAGAGCGTGGCACTTTGTTCAGTCTTTCATTCAATTCAACCGTGGTTACACCATCAGTACCGACTGCAAGGGGGATGCACATGTCGGTGGGCCGGCAGCCCAGCACAACATTTGATATGCGTCTGCCCAACGAATATGACTCACTGATTATGCTGTTACTATTAGTTCAGGGGTGTTCAACCTCTGTACACTCCTTTAGTTTGGGAGTTGAGAATACCACCTCGTGCTCAGATTTTTCTGTGGCTTTTAAGTAACAACAAAACTCTAACTAGAGACAGTTTAATCAAAAGGAGGCATGTGGAGAACAAATCCTGTCTTTTTTTTTGTTCTAAGTTACAATCAGTAAGTTCGAGTATTGTGTAGCTTCGAATCTTTGGCAAGTTATCTCAAGGATTTGTGGTAAAAGCATAGGTTCAGATTTTGTATCGGTTGCAAGATGGTGGTTATAATTAACAAAAAGAATAATGTTCTGAATATGGGCACCTCCGTAGTTAAGTGGAGTTCTGTGGAGATTCAGGGTCAGGTGTGGTCGAGTATGAAGTCGGCGTTGACAAAAAATTATCATAAGGTAGTAGTGCTGGAAGATACTTCGAAAGGAAGACAGCTTATCAGATTTGGAAGAGGAATGAACACACAAGGTTAACATGGATCCAAGGGGACGGTGCAGATTTGGCAATTGGGACAAGTAGTCGGGGAGAGCGAGCAGGAGTAGGACCAGTGACCTTCCAAACCGTTGTCAGCTGTGAGATCTCCAATGAACAAGGGGCGATGATGCTTATGCTTATTGGAGAGCCATGAGGCCTCGGCAGAATTTTGTAGAAAATGATCATTACTGGTTTTAGCGCGCGTGCCTCATATGCACGAGAGACAGAGAACGATCAGTTCAGGGAGACTTCAGCACAAGCGTAATGTATACTTCCGTGTCTCAAATTTCTGCAACGACTAATGACCAACACATATGACAATTGATCTGTAAACAGATCGATATATACGTAAGTTCCTTTGCCGGGAAATGTGTACCTTTACCCAAAGCAGAATGAAAGAGAGCAAATAACACGCGCAAGCACAAACGATACAAGGTAATAACAATTATTGGCAGTATCGCAGTACATATTTGGTAACAGGCACGTGACGGTGTTAAATTGGGCAGACTCACTATACATTATGTTGCACTTTGATCCCATCCTCTAACTAGAGTACAGGACCACATCACATTACCATGGATATAATGTGTTCAAAACATCACGACGCTCTGACCAGGTTGGCACAAGGTACATCTTGCTTGACCCACTAGTTGTCGGATTGCATGCTCCTGAGCATGTTTAGGATGGAAAGGAACAGGTTCAGGATGTCAAGGTATAGCCCAACTGATGCCCAGATATACTCATCATAGGTGTGGCGCCTGATCAGGTTCTCGGTGTCATACAGAATGAAGCCTGCGAAGACCAAAGCTCCTAGCCCACCGAACAAACCAACTGACACTGGTCCCAATGGGAAGAAAATCTGCAACACAGAATTCCACATAACAAAAAGGTTATTGCAAGCAGTGTGGATTGCTCGTCTGGTAACAAAGCAGCATTTGCGAGTAGAGCCCATTCTTTCAGAGCTTATCATAGGCATTACCTGAAGAAAGCTAGTTAGGACAAGGATAGTAAGCGCAGAAGACAGAATAGGCCCCAGATACCCGAATTCCTTGCCCTTCTTTGAGGCCCAGAAAGCATATGCAGTCAAAGAAACCACCACACCAGCCGTCAATACTAAAGCCTCCAGAACAATTTTTCCTGTAATAAGTAAACGATTGTTAAACAAAAACTACAAGAAACAAAAACTGTTTGAAGAAAAGAAACAGACCTTGAGTGTTAGCACAAACCACACCAATGCTGAAGCTCAAGCACAAAGTGAACAAACCCAGGAAAACGAAGTTGTGTGGGTGCTTGTGCTGATAATGATACAATGGGATCATCACTGCCGCAAATATCAGAAAAGAAGTTAGTGAACAATAATGGAAGTCCCTCTGCTCAGATTCTAAGCAAAAGAGAAGGGTATATTTTGGTGTGTTACGACCTACGAGGATACAATGACACTGGACAGCTTCTGATTAAACCCAGAAAAACCCAAAAAAAAATCTTGCACTCTCAGATCTAATAACTGAGACTGTTTCTGATTCCTCCATAATCCACAGAAAGATAAATCTATTGCTTTCATTATCAAAGCATTCTCCTATGCCTGTATACCTGGCAAACAGCACGCCAAAAACTCTATGTTGAGCTAGATAACCAAAACCCTCAATTTGGTCCAACCATATATCAAAGTACCTACATTTCCATTTACTTGACATCATTGTCTTTGACTGTTACTTTTTGATTAACCGCCAGAGAAACTATGCAGATTTAGCAAAGTACTTTTTGATTACATGTCTACCATGCCACTTTTATGCTACATAAACAAATACTTCAAAAAAATTGTTACTGGCCAAAAACCTTGATCAGTCAAAGTCAAGCCAACAATATCAAGCAAACGAAAATGGATGGGAGTATGCATACAACTGATTCTCAAAGGCTGTCGCCCTACCTCCCTCTCCGAACTCCACACTCGACTTCTACTCTTTTGGATGAACGATGAAGAGGGTAAGATAATAGGGATAATTTCTTGAAACTAAAAAATGACAACTCAGTTTCATGCCTCCTTAGCAAGATGCCATTATTTTCTATTTTCTCATATTCTCAAATCATTCCTCAACTCAAATCCTATTGCTAGTTCTAATTGAACAGGGAAGTAGGAGGTCTCACTGTTGATAAATAAACAATATAACAATAACAACAGTGAGATAAAGCACAGCACTACAAATCTACATCACATATCTCCTGTTCAAGTTTGACATTAGTACTTCTTCATCAGCAACATAATCACAATACAACAGATTATCAGCACAATAACAAACAACTAAGCTTCCTGTGTGCTAAATCAAGGCCACTTGCTGTGATGCTCATGTGAGCCCATTATCATGTTACTAATGTGCTGCAACATCATTAATGAGCAGCTGACAATCAAGCACTCTATCACATAGATATTAAACTAGAACAAGAGATAAAAGGATAATGGGCTCACTAATACTGTAATATGTTTTTACCGGGTGAACAGTTTAGCTAAACTAAGGCCCATTAGAGGCAACCGGCTACAAACTGCTTCTTCTATTGCGAAGGGAACCTCTCCATCTCCTTATAATTTTCATAGTAACCCCTTATACAGGGCCAGGGAATCTCATCTACATGCAATATCAAGGGCATAAATAAAGTTGAGATAAAGCTTGGGACAACAACGCATCTCTCTTGTTTCAATTTATATTTTCATTGAATCATCAACAACATGACCATAACATCACAACACGTTATCAGCACGATAACAGTCTCACATTGACTTTCCAGTAAGTAGTAAGTCAAACATGTTAGATGGAGGCAGCAACCAGGAGCTATGTGAGACCATTATCATGTTGTAATGTGTTGCAACATTATGGTCAGGTTGAAGATGATCAAGAAAAAATATTAAATTGGAACTAGAGAAATGGGTAGCAATCCAATCTCAACTTTATTGTGCAATTAGCCCATTTTAATGTTGTACCATGGGTTTAACTGCACTAAAGCTCATGAGATGCAAATGGTTACCATATACTGCTTATTCATTTACACAGTGAAGTTACCAACTCCTGACGTCAAAGAGACGCGGATGTTCATTTACACGTTATAAGCAGATGTTCTCATGCAGGTCATGCTTATTCATTATACTTGTAATGTCAAATCCACAATATAGTGGAGAGACATTTAAGGACTACAACACGTTTCTCTTGTCCCAATTTAATATTCACTTGATCATTGGTAATACAACCACGATTTCAACAACACGTCTTCAGCAGTCAGCAAAATAATGCTCATGTAGGCTTGTTGGTAACTTGATACAAAACATGTTAGACCAAGGCAAGTTACCATGACCTGCATGAGAACATCTGCTTATAACTAGTTACAATATCATGATTGAGTTGCCAAGGATCAGTTGTACACAATCATATAAATATTAAACTGGAACAAGAGACAAGTGTAAATAACATCCTTCAGAATCCGTAAATAACATGTGACTAAACTAAGGTACTAGGCCTAGCAAGCCAATTGCCTCTACAAAACCTTAGTTTAGGTAGTGTCTATCCAATAGACAATAGCAAAGCAAAAACAATCCGAGCAGCATATTTCAGGTTCAAGCTTGGATCGGCTATATCTAAGATCTATATGCCAAGTCCTGATCCAAACAGCTATTCATCATAAATAACGAGAGAGAACCTAACAGGAACATTGCATCGACCTGTCTAGAATCTGGATCCAACCAACTCATCTAACTTTATCCACAATTTGTGTAGTTTCATCAACACATCTCCCTAACCAAGTGATGATGGCCAGAAAAGAGTAGATTTCCCCACCCGGCACATCAAACCCCGACACCGGCGGATGGAGAACAGGGGCGCTTACGGATGAATGGCAGAACGGCGAGCACGAGGGCGAGGCCCGCGGAGTCGGAGAGCGTGGCGTTGAGGGTGGGGTGGAGGACGGTGAGGGCGGAGACGGCGGTGGTGAGGAGCAGCTGCGCGGCGAGGATGCCGTAGACCTTGCGGACGAAGCCCCAGCGGAGGGCGCTCTCCCCGCGCGAGATCCCTGGGTACAGCGTCTCCCCGGTCCCGGCCTCCAGGTCCACCGCCGACGACTCCACCTTCTCTTTCATCTCCGGCGCGCGGCGGTACCCCGCCGGCGCGAGGGGCTGCATCTCCGCCACCGACGCCATCTCCCTCTCCCTCTCTCTCTCTCTCGCTCTCCGACGGGGATGGGGATTGGGTGCGGTGCGGGGAAGAGGAAACGCGGATTCTTCGCCCGAGACGCGGGTTGCGCGTCGCTGTGGGAAGACTTTGTTGGGGGTGGTTGGGGATTTTGTAGATTTGCTACGAGCACTCGTGAATCCTGCCAAACTTGTCCTCGGCCACTGAAAAGTAGGGCCAAATCGGGTGGAGGGGTGGGCGGAGCACTCTAAAACTCGTGCGCTAGGCCAGCTTAGGTAAGTTCCGTGTTCACAAATTATTTTCTTGAGAGAATAAAAATATCGACATGCAAATGCTCCTGTAGTTGACCTTCGTATATGTACTACTGTAGTATACTCCCTTTTGATTCAAGAAAGATGCGTCGCTTTGATTTTTTTTCGTAGTTTAGATTAGATTCTTACCTATAAGATCTTTTGAACTTTGGTTTGATCAGATTGACAGTATGTCAGTATAAGATGGATGCCGCGTTGCCGGCTTGCCGCTAGAATTCAATAGTAAAGTACTTTTAAAATATTTATTTATTAAATACATTTGGTTTGAATGTTTTATTTCCATAATATAAATCGTTGGCCAAAGCTCATTTTTCAAACCGTGTCAATGTACTTTACGGATGCAGTAGTAGCTCGGTTAATTCTTCCATTTTGCTATGTTTTACTATGTTATTATATCTTTTTTGAGGAAACGGCAGGGAAGTTTACATATTGTACATAGTACTTGTAAAGCCCAAAATAAAAAGGGATAGAAATCTCATAAGCTACTCTCTCGCCAAATTGATAGGGGATCAGCAATGCTTTTCTTGGCTTTGATGCATACCAAGCCAAGGTCTTCCTTGAGGGCTGCACTCCACTCCATCAGAGAAGCAGTTTTGTTGTAAAAAATGATCCCACTTCTAGCCTTCCAAATTGTCCAGCAAGCTTAGACGAAGATCTCTCTGAAAATATGACTTCTAAAATCCAATCTTTCCCGGTTGATCATGTCCAGAGGCTGAAGAGACAAATCCCAATGAATATTGATGGAGCTCCAGCAGTCTATACTGAAAGGGCACTCAAAGAACAAATGGAAGCTTGTTTCCTCAGGGCCATTGGTACATAATACACATGTGTAGTCATCAAGGTACATGTTTTTTTCTTCTTAAGAGATTTCTGGTACTAAGTCTGTCTTTGAGCAGCAGCCAAGCAAAAAACTTATATTTGCCAAGATTTCCTGACTTCCAGATCCATTTGAAGAGGGGAGATGCTTCCAAGGAACCTTGAAGATGGGAGTATGCTTTCTTTGAGGAGAAAATAGGTCCTCAATTATAATGCCAACTGTCCTTCTGGGTGTGCTCCCACTGTCTGCCATTGATGATTTCTTGAAGCTCAGTGAGTTGATTTGAAGCTTGGGCAAATAAAGGCAGGAAGAGGACCCTGTTTATCTCATTATAAAAAAAAAAGAACTGAAATGTTATTATATCTCATTCTCATTGTTTCACCTCATTCTCATGTTTCTTAGAAGATCCAAATAGGACCTTATATACCTGTTGAGGACATCCTATCTCTTTGTCCCTAAATAATCAAATTCTAAAATTGTCTTAAGTCAAATTTTATAAATTTGACAAAATTTATAGAAAAAGTATAAATATTTGTGACAACAAATGAGCATACCATGAAAAGTACTATTTTTATAGCGGCTCTGGTGATACTAATTTGGTGTCTTAAATATCGATGCTCTTTTCTATAAATTCGGTCAAACTTAAGATTGATTTCAAACAACTCTAAAAATTGATTTATTTAGGGACAGAGAGAGTAGCATTTACAGGAGTCGAGAGTTTGCGTCTCATCTGGTAAGTCACTTTTTCTTACTAAATACTACAAACACCAACACATATAGGGTGTATTTGGTTGAGTTGTGGCTTCTGAAAAACTAGTGTGAGTTGTGGGCTGTGAAAAGTCTATTTTAGGTTATGGGTTGTGAAAAAGTTGTAAATTGTTTGATTCAAACAAGTATAAAACTTACCTCATGTCTCTTATTTTCCTTAAAACAACTATAAAACAACTCTCTATTTTCACCATTTCAAAAGGCAGAAAGCCAAAAGTAGGTCCAAGATGCTTTCAAAATTGTACTACCCAAAAGTAGTCAGTCCTGAAAAAGCAGCTTTTGGTTTCCACCCTTTTGATTGGATTTTAGCTTTTTGAAAGCAAAAGCAACCCATAAAAGCCAACCAAAGACAGCCATAAACACCATATCCACCTATATAAAAGTATGCATACACCTCATTCCTACGAAAACATCTGAGAGATTGTATTGACATCCAAACGAATAACTAAGCATAAATAGTGCCTAGACTAAGTTGGAGACTCAAACTTGGGTTAGAAGTTTTCTTTGGTTCAGTGAATGGTAACACAAAGGAAATGAAATCAGACACCATTGTAATCGAAGTGGTTCAATCTTTATCTGGAAATGGTTGATAAGATCTGATTATAAACAGTGGGAAGCAAATATGTGTGATGGTAACACATAATCGGTTATGTCACATTTTAGCCAACCAAACGCTCGTAAGTTCAGCTTGCATAACAAATCATATCTTATGATAATTTTTCAGCAAAAAGGTTAAGTATGGGAAAGATGTTAGAAGCAAGTAATTTCTCTTTTTCCCAAAAAACAAGTAACTTCTCTTTGAATCCAACCAATTCAATAAATCTCTTGCACGGAAAAAAAAAGTTAGATTCATAACAATGTATATTAGTCTATAGTAGAGCAAAGTAACTAAGTAAGATGGAATGGACGATCAACTCAACCAGGTAGGTTTCTCTTGTTGGAACATGTTCACCCATCTAAGTTCAGTCATCGACTCTTGAGATAGAATGTGTGTAATATGTATATAAGCGCTTGTTTCATGAAAAAAAAAAGAATCCCAAGTATGCTCTAGCTCATTTCATAGCCCGTGGGGTTCCAGAGGCGTGGCAGTAGCATTAGAAAAGAGGTGCTCATGTGCTGTGGAACTGGTCGAGGGCAGCGGTGGACTTTGGGGCCGAATCATAGCTCCGTTCTCGCGTACTCGCTCCATCCTAAATAAGGGCTCATGACTTCATTTTAAGGAGTCAAACGATCTTAATTGACTATATATATATATATATATGTATAAAAGTAATAATACTTATGATACTAAATACATATTATTAGATTAATAATGTCAAATATTTTTATAGTAAATTTATTTAGAGATATAAATGTTAATAATATTGTTTTATAAATCTGGTCAAACTTTAAATTGGTTGTTTCCTTGAAATACGAGATTAATACTTACTTTAGAATGGAGGGAACAGAGGGAGTACTCTAAAGGCATACGCGCATTGCGGTTGCGGTCTCCTACTGTATTTAAATTGGCTGCATTCACGAAGAGCAATATGAATCTGATCCAAATGGGTCTCCAGAATTTCTTTGCACCTCCCCGAATCAAGCAATCCACCAAAACATCTTGCTTTACAATCTCTCACTCCAAATGGATCTTGATCGTAGGTCTGTTTGATACAAGTGCTAATTACTAACTAGCCAAAAATTAGTTAAAATTAGCTCTAGTGGATCTAAATAGGAGGGCTAATATATAGGCTATTTTTTTGTCTAGCGTTCAACTAGTCATTAGTCAACTAGCTAGCCAACCATAACATTTAGACTAATTTTTATCCCCAGCTAGTAACTAGCCAATTAGCCATGTGTATCCAAACAGACTATATGAACATGTCTATGTGTTGTAGGGCCTATTTGATACTATAGGCTTATTGTTAGCTAACTAATTTTTAGCCTAAATTAGCTATAGTGCATCTAAATAGGTGGGTTAATTTTTTAGCTAAGTCTTTCACTGTTTGTTAGCCAACTAACTAGTGAACCACAGTTTTTTTAAATTAATTTTTAGCTCTAGCTAGTAAATAGCCATGTATCAAACTGGCCTTTAGTCTTGTTGCACCATGACTAGATACGACCTCATTTTCAAAGCATCTCGCCCCTGCAATTACGAGGTCAAACTTCTTTCATGTGCACCGCATGAAAGAAGCCTGCATAACACGGACAGATAACTAATCGATATTTTACTTTTTAAAAATATAACCTCTAAAAGGCTAGTAAAAAACATTGCTCTGAACTGCAAAAGCTTAGCATAACTAATCTGTACTTTCTATTGTGCATCAACGGATACTCATGCAATCATTAGCTTATTCAGCAGCTGAATCAGGACATCAACCAGACAATATTACTTGCGGAGGATGTTTCAGGAGAGCATGGACTCATCTTTCAGCTCAAACTACATAGTAGCAAGCAACATATACTAAACATCATACACATAGATTGCTACAGAACAAGCAGCATAAACGATAGCACAGGCAGAGCTTTCAGTTTCGGTGAGCATAGATTCTTCAGTTTGCTCCAATATCTGGAATCACTGGCTCATCTTTCAGCTCAAAGTTAACAGGATTGTTGTCCAGAAATGGGTAGTCGTCAAGCTCCAGAAATGGGTAGTCGTCAAGCTCATCATCAGTAGGAGAACCTTCAACCAGCTGTGCTTTGTCACCTGCATGTGAAAGTGTATGTTACATGCAAGTAAACTGAAACATTTTGAAGAGAAGAAGAAACCATGTGCTTACTGAAGAAACCAAAGAGGAATCACAAGACTTAGATTCTTACGTTTGTCTTCCACGTCCTTATCCAGCTTCTGAGGATCATTTCCTGTGAATTGAGCGCCCTCCGACACATCATTAGCCCATTCATGACACTTTTTGGTCTCTTCAACAGTGAATATTTTCACTGGGTTCTTCACAAGAGGAATCACAAGACTTAGATTCTTACGTTTGTCTTCCATGTCCTTATCCAGCTTCTGAGGATCATTTCCTGTGAATTGAGCGCCCTCCGACACATCATTAGCCCATTCATGACACTTTTTGGTCTCTTCAACAGTGAATATTTTCACTGGGTTCTTCACAGCTTCATGGCTGCGCAGAGCAGGCCTCCCTTTGACGGTGTTAGACAAATCCTGAAGAGCCTTCTGTTCTTGAAGCTTAGGCTTCAGTAATGGCTTCAGTGGTTTGGCCCTTGGTGCATCATCCCTCTTGCCTGAGGTAGAGAGACACCAAGTGATGTCTGGAAGAATCTCTGGTTCCAGCTCCAGCTCTTTCGATTCTTCAGAAAACTTGGGAACCTCCTAAATCATAAAGAGACAGATTATAGCACATTTTTGGTTTAATGATGAGATGAGAAAAATGGAGAAGTCAAGAAATGGTGTTTTGTGGAATATTATGCTTCCACTTATGTTGATTACTTGCCTAAAAGTTAAGAATTCAAATATATCAGATAGCGTATAAACAAATGGAGCTATATACAGCAGGAATAAATCATATGATTTATACAGAATTTTAAACTTTAAACAGTTACTGATCATTTTGTATGTGTCAACACAACCACAAAAATACACTCAAGATATAGAGATTTTTTCACCATTGGTCATAAAAAACTATACAAAAAAACAAGGTAAAGAAACATAATAGAACTAGTGCGACAAGTGTTTCAATGCTCTTAGAGAAAGAAAATAAACCAGAAATGTTGTTGACATGTGACATGATTATAGACACAATTGAACTTCTATTGGTACCTATCACTATATCAGCGCAGTCATTAAGCTAAATGTACAGGGCAACATTTAGAGAAAACAGCCCAGGACCCCAAAAAACAAACTTATACCAACTTTAGTAGATACTAGCAGCACTGTTATACCAAATGACAAGCAAGATGTGCAGGACTGCTTCTTCTGATGTCACAAGATATTGTTAGGTGACATAAAATGAAAAATCTAAACCGGGACAAGATGTCCATATCTTGTGATGCAATACATATCCATAGATAAGCAGTATCCTTTAGTACTACTACTGGCAACGAAAAAAATTCCAACATCTAGAAATAGGGTAATTATATTCAAAGACACTTTACATTTCAGAATATGCTTCTTGATAAACAAATGCTGCAAGTGCCCATTTCTGAATCTCACAAGCTATCTTGTCAAAATAATTATTACCGGCAGCAATACCAAGCTTGTCAGTCCATAGCAATATATAACCTTACATGACAAAAGACATGATATAGTTCATGCTAGACATGGATGAACCATCAAAATTAAGCTCTTCTAATCAATTTATCAACCAACTTCAGCTAGCAGAGGTGCGGAACAAGTGAAATTTATCGCCACAAGTTCCTCTTCATTGCTTACGGATACCGGAACATACTAGGCCAAAGTATTAAATAGCACACTATGTTGGCACTGGAAAGCTACGTGACAAATGATTTTACTGGCTAACCTATAATTCTAGCCGTCTAAGAACCATTGTATATCTGTATCACTTAGGTGAACTAAGCAACCAAATAGCAAGAAGATATACTTTTCCAATTTCTTATTTAAGAATAATAAGTTTTGTTTGCCTGGTTTGAATTTGCACGTCATGGTCTTATAGAAACAGACATGACTATTTCAAAAGTAATACCAATTTATCGTCTAAATCTCTGGTAAAGTACCTGGACCTTACAGACACCCTGAATTAATTGTGAAATACTGTACTGTTGGGTCACATACCGCAGCCGGAAACATCACAGGATCAAATACCTCATGTGACCAGCCATGCAATGCTGATATAACTTTCGCCACTTTCTTCTTGACACCTATATCAAATGCATGATTACCCATACGCAGCTAAAAAATATACCACCCACGTATTAAAGAAACAAAAAGAGCAATTGTCAGACTTTGACTCTTACGTTTGTCTTGAGCATCTTTATCCAACTTCTGAGAATCATTTCCAGTGAAGTGAGTGCCCTCAATCCCATCCTTAGCCCATTCATGACACCTTTTGGTCTCTTCATCATCAGCAAAAATATTCACTGGGTTCTTAATCACTTCATGGCTACGCAGAGCAGACTTCTCTTTCAGGATGGACCTCTCATTGCGGGTGTTAGACACATCCTGAAGAGGATGCCTCTCTTTCAGGATGGACCTCTCTTTGAGGTTGTTGGACACGTCGTGAAGTGCAGGCCTTTCTTTCAAGGTGGACCTCTCTTTGATGGTGGATCTGTTCTTTAAAGCAGTGCCTTTAGGAATGTTAGACACATCCTGAAGAGCCTTCCTCTCAGGTTTTGCTGATGATTTGAGTGGTTTGGCCCTTGGTGCATCAACCCTGTTTTCTGAACATGTGGATCAAACAAGTTGGTTATATGTTTCATAAACTTCCTAGTCACAAAACAGTTTCCAGGGAAAACAATCTCACCTTTATGTATCTGCATGTTCTCATCAAGCAAAACAGCTGCTGCAGCTGGCAAAGCCATGACCGGACAGAAAGGTATCTTTCTCTACCTCGATGAAAACCTGACTGGAGTTCAATTGATTGCTAAGGGGGAGATACTCAGAGTATAGAAATACTAAACAACAACTTCCCTACACTATTAAGATATACAGAAACTGAAAAAAAAAATCGAAATGTGCTAAGCAGATGCTAATTTAAGACAGACTGAACATTTCAACCGAATTAACTAACGGGAAAAGCACAACTGCTGAAGTGTTGCATTACGTCTTACAGAGATACATTCTGAAATTTGATGTAGCAAAAGTATACAGCTGGTGGCAGAGCAATCTAACACAGGATATATAATAGCACTTCTCATGGGGAAGCCTTAAGGGTTATCATCAAAGCGCTTGGACCAGCGGCAGCCTCTGATCTAGATTAGTTGAAACTCTAGCCCAAGAACATCAAAACGCACATCTCGTCTAGAAAAATCAGGCAATATCGGACTGAAACTTTACATAAACATCCTATAACAAACTAACAACGGAAGGATTTCCTTTTGGCTTCCCTAACTGTCATAGCATTAGAAGATACAGGACGCGACTAGAATCCTTCAGCAAAACAAGAGGGTTGAAATCTTAGGCGCAAGAAACGAGATAAATGGACGGAATATCTACCACGTGGCAACAGTGAATAAGGGCGAACAGATCCCTCAAACGAGGCATCCCATCCCTAGAGCGCGCGATTACATGAAGAACAGGACGGGACATCGCGGCAGCCTTAGGGTTTCGATTTGGTTGCGCACATCATAGCAAGGGGAGGGCAAAAAGAAATCAGTGCAAAGTCGAATCGATGCAAGCCAAGAAGCGGTAGGGTTTACCCGCGCAGGAGAGAAGTCAATCGGCCCGTTGTATCTCAACTCAACTCCGCTCCGGGACGCAGCAGCAAGGAGGACGCGGACAGCGGACTGGAAGAGAAGGGACGACCTCTCGGCGGCGGTTGCGCTCGCTGTTTTGCCAGGTATCGATCGGCACGCGCGGGAGTTGTGGCGTTACCGGCGGCCCGGCGGTACCTCGGAGGATTTGGGGGCGACGAGAGAGAAAAGACGAAGAAAAGGGAAGGCAACGGTCGGATTTTGGGTCGCTGAATGTTTGTCTACGGACCCATAAGGCGGCAAGGCCTTTTAGCTATCCGCACTCCTCTATCTCTATTCTTATCTCTAAAAAAAAATATTTTATCTTAATCATCAAGATTCTCTACTTTATATTTAAGCCCTGTTTGTTCCAAATAAGTCACCTACAACCCTGTTTATTTCAAATAAGTCACCTACTTATAAGTTTAAAAGTAAAATAAGTGACTTATTTTGCCAAACACCACCAACTTATAAGTCACCCCTGCTTATAAGTTTTAAGTTGGTTCACCCCTGCTTAAAACTTATAAGTCACCATTTTTCACGTGGGGTCCACATCTTTAATGAGCTTATAAGTCATTTACAACCAAACAGACATGACTTATAAGTCACTGGTTTTCAGTCACCTGACTTAATAAGTCACCTGACTTATGGAAACCAAACATGCTCTTATTTCTCCCGCAACCGTGTTATCTCTATCCCATACTCTATACCCACTATTCTATATTTTATTCCTCTCTCTCTCTTTCTCTCTCCCACCAACTTTCTCTCTCTCGCAGCTACAGTTGCGCTGGGTTTAGCGGGTTCCTGTGCAGCCGGTACCATACTGGAGGCTTTGCAGGTGAGCGGTGCAGGAGCGCGGTACGCTATCGCTGGCGTACCGGCCCCTTTGCAGGTCAGCGGTGCGGTCAGTCTTAAACTCAGTCGCAGACCAGCCCAACGGTGAATCCGTCCAGTCTATTTCGACCAGCGCTGAGCCCACTTCCCAGGCCCATGGAAAGCATTTGCTATGGTCGTGCGGAAGGACCTGTAGAGCCATCCTTAGCACGTCAGATCTGGGTTCAAGTTTTCGCAAGAACGAATATTTTAGAATTTAACGAAGTTATGCTTTCCGGTGCATGAAATATTCTCGTTGACAGCAAGACATTTATGATAACTTTATCAATCTTGAGGATTTACCGACCCAGCCTTCGAAAGAATTCATAAAGATAAGGTTTGCATACGTACATTCGTATGGATGAGTGTGCGTGCGTTCTAAAAAAAAAATTGCTATGGTCGTTAGTTTGTGTGTGTAAATATTATTTTTCTTGGCAATCATTTCGTTTTATGTCATGCTTATTAATATAGCTGGTTTTACTTTTCTGTTGAGAATACTGAAGAACGGAGATATGGATTCCCCGAAACAGACCATAACAGTCGATCGAGCTCAGTGATTATTTAAGATCAGAAGCTTCTTTGTAGTCTGTATGACTCTTACCAAGGTTAATCTGTACTGGATCAAGTTATCAATCAAAGCTTTCACTAAATTATACTAGTATATTTGTCCGTGCTAACCCTACAACGAACGAAAAGATGGCTTTTTTTCTAAAAAAAAGAGAGAGGGAAATAACAATAAACACAAAATTCTTAAAAATATTCCAGCAACAAATCAGTGCCAGGTTTGACGACTCACGGGGCCGTACAGCGAGTTCACATCCGCAACAAATCAACTATTGCGATGTACATTGAGGCCCTCTTCGCTTCTCCTGTAATCTATAATTTTCAGCTGTTTTTTCAGTAGGAACAGTGTTTTTCTCTTACAACAAAGCAGCTGAAACAGTGTTTTGATTTTTTCAGCAAAGCGAACGGGGCCTGAAACAGATCTTCATCGACACAACCCAGAAATTTTAGTTTTCGACATCGATATTGTGATGTACACCTCAAAAGGGCTACTAAGATCATTGCACATTTATAACAGTAAAAGAATGAAAGCCTAGCATAGCTTCTGTATTTTGTATTGCACTCCCTTCGTTCCTAATTATCAACTTTATTAGAAACTTCTCAAGTTTGACCAAATTTATATAATAAAATAATAATATTTATGATACCATAATTAGATTCTTCATTAATTATATTATTATATTTTTATAATATACCTATTTGATGTCATCAATTTTTATAATTTTCTCTATATAATTTTGATCAAACTTGAGATGCTTTGACTATGCAAAAAAGTTAGAATAACTTATAATTTAGAATGAAGAGAATACATCAACCTATATTCATGCCATCTAATATCAACCGATATTCATGCCATCTAATATCAGCTTACATATGGTAACTGAAAATTTTAATAATCATGACAAGTATGTAAAGTGACGACCCTGTATCCTCCTATCATTTAGGGCCTACACTCCCAAAATTCCCCTAGGCTACAGATTAGATTGCAACTATGCCAAAACATGATCAGTATGTACTGCCAAGTAACCAATGGGCATCAAAGGGTAAAGAATAAAGTGCAGACAGCAAAAATGATTCTAATCTCGCTTTTTCTCCAAGTTTGCAACTGCCTGTTTCTGGCGCTTCTCCCACGCAGGCATCTTTCCTGGGAACATCCATCGCAGAAGCCGCTCCCATCCATAGCAACCACAAAACATTAGAATAGCCCACAACATCAATTTGCCACGCATTCCCTCAGGCAAGGGTTCAAGCTTCATGTAGTCATTCAAATCCCTGAACATATCTGATGTGATCACTGTGAAGAAAGCAACCGCTCCCATACAACGCATACTTGAAGGGCTTGTTCTCAGATATGCTCTGATTAAATGGGTGGCCCATGTAGTTTACAGCAAAGGTTGCCACCTGGATCATCATGTTCACCATGTATGAAACTGTATTCACAAGGTTTGGATGGAAGCCTGAGTCGGGCTCAATGCATTCCTCTGGCATATGCTTTGATGCTTCATTGACAGCTGTGATGAGGAAGAATATGTGCATGGCGAACTGGCCAAGAATGGAGAGCAGAACGTATGCACAGAATATGTTAGGGTGAGGCCGCTCTGCAGACAGCGTTTGGAGTGGCCGAGCATGGGAGATGAAGAGGAAGAAGGCTGCAGTAAAGACACCACTGATTGTAGCCTGAACATCGCCCAGTTTGACACCATCCAAGTACATGACACTGAGAACGTAAGCGGTTGCAAGGCAATTGAGCCCAAGAATCTTGAACATTTGAAGTGTAGTGACTAGCGTGCTTCTCCCTGACGGATGATGTCAAGAGTAGGGGCAACAGAGGCATGCTTTGCTGTGAAAGGTGAAGCCATAGAAGCATCACCAAGCTTAACAATTGGTGCTGAACGGCCATCACTTTCATCATTCATTTCATCCAACATTTTCTGCAGCTTTTCTCGCTGCCTCTCAGCAGCAGTCATGGGCTGCTGCTCGATGCTTTAGCAGAACTATTAGCTGCTGGAGTCACTTGTGATGATGCTTCATTAGCAGGCTTCTGTTTTTTCAATTTCCCAGATTTATTTTCAGCTTTGGATTTTGAGTCGACTTTCTGAACTGGTTGAGCATTCAAAAGAGCTATGCCAACATGTGCCTGAAATTTTTTACAAGATCATGAAATGAATGGCAAAAATAATGATACGATAAGGTAGTTAACAAGAGTCCTATATTTCAGTAAACAAATTCAAAATGTCAGTAGAAAAATAACAGGCCTAACAAAAGCAATGTAGAATTTGCCTGAGGTCAGAAATTTTAAAATTATTATCATTCAAGTGGTTCACTATCACCATATTACAGTTATGACTTATCATCAAACAGGTAATGAAAAGAACAAAACACCAGGCCAATATTGGTCAATTTGCATATCAGTATTCAGTAGCATGGACCTCTGCCACTCACAGTTACTGGCTTAAACTTCTTCCATATGTGCCATACTTCTAGCATAAGTATAAGCCACCTCTTAAGAGAGTGTAAAGAATGTTCAATTACATTCTGTTATATTACATAACAGGTAAGAAGTATTACCATGATGCCTTCAACTAATAAAACAAGAAAAATGAATATAAGGCACCAATTGTAGCGAAAAGTCTCTACACAATCAGTGTCAGTAAACACTTCCAGGATCAATGCAATAATTGTCATGGTAACAAATAATATGCCTGTGTGGAATAAGGTCGTAGAAACCAGAATAATAGAGTAGTTTTCTATGTAAATTGAGCAAAACTAAGTGGGATACAGGACAGGTAATCACCTGCTTCAGTGCACCAACATCATTGGTTCCATCTCCACACATCAGTGTCACCCTCCCAACACTTTTGAATGTAGTCAGTACAAGTTCTTTTTGTTCTGGAGCAACACGTGAAAAAACCTAAAAGAATGATAATTAAAAACTATAATAACCGCTAAGCATACAAATGAAAGCTTTCATATTTTGTACAGGGGATGTAATCTGTTCACACATATACCTTCACATAAGGGATAACCTGGAGAACAGCCTCAGTACTTTGTAGCATTTCAAAACAGTCCCCATTAATACAAAGGTCATGAGATTCTGATAACACTGCAACCTCCACAGCACTGCAAAACAACATATACACAATATCAACTCAAAAGGACACAAACAAGCCACAAACTGTATGTGATAACAATGCCAGAAGAGATGCTAAACAACAGACTTAATATATCAACACTAAGTCTGAGAGATTAACAAGAGAAAAGAAATTGTATTGTTTGTTAACTTGAGGAAATGCTTGTGATAATAATCATTTTTCCTGGACAAATGGGACACAATTATAATTTTTATAAAAACTTAGTCTGATAAAACAAGCAACATAATATTTGTTATGAAAGAGAGAGATCAGACTACTCTGTCTCTCACACTGGAACAGGGTAAAGATTTGCCAGGCAAGAAAACAAGGTACGAGCTCAACACAAAAGAATCAGCAAAGATACAAGTACTGTATATAGACAGTTACCTGTATGGAGCTCTATCAGTTTCATCTGGCGAAACCCACTCAAAACCACCAGTCTTTATCCGTGTCAAGATCAAAACAGGTTTGGAAGATATATGTACTTGGCTAGCAACATGGCAGGCAGTCAATGCTTGGTCTCCAGTGATCATGACCTAATAACACCAGCAAGCCAATAAGCACATTAGTCAAACAAAACAGAAATAGCATTACAAATTTTCAAGGTTGCTGCTACGAGTACACTAGCATGTCTGCTAGCCTTGGGCAATGTACTTGTATATGTATCACATTACTGGCACAAAAACAAGTTTCCGGCACAGCTGAATTTATTACCAATAATAAATGGTCACAAGATAAATAGGAGGATATACCAAGTCATGGGAAGATTGTCCCAGTTCTTGTAAGACAGCACCAGAGTCGCTCCTTATAGGACAGTTGAAGACCTGAATCCACCAATCCAACACAGCCACAGAATTAAGATAAACATGTCATCCAACGTAACTAAGATAATTTTGAGAAAAAAAAAGATGCATAAGAGGAAGATTACATACCGCAAAACCAGCAAATGTTAGGTCGCTCTCTACTTGATCCCTTTCCAAACTTCTAGCTTCACTAACCTGTTATTTAAACACCAAGAGGTCAAACAAATCTAACCTGATACACTTTTCATAGATAAACAAACAAAAAGATATGATATAAAAATGCAATAGCTGTAAAATTCGAAGGATAATAAGTTAAATGTATGCAGATAATAAACTCTGTTTGAAAGTTTAAATAAATAAGTTAATGAAATATGCTTCATGAAATCTAACTTCTAGACCCCCAACAACAACAACAACAACAACAACAAAGCCTTTAAGTCCCAAACAAGTTGGGGTAGGCTAGAGTTGAAACACAGCAGAAGCAATCAAGGTTCAGGCACGTGAATAGCTGTCTTCCAAGCACTCCTATCTAAGGCTAAGTCTTTGGGTATATTCCATCCTTTCAAGTCTCCTTTTATTGCCTCTACCCAAGTCAACTTCGGTCTTCCTCTGCCTCTCTTCACGTTACTATCCTGGCTTAGGATTCTAGACCCCCAACTTCTAGACCCCCAAGCCAGTGAATAAACATCAAGGGAAATGTATTTTATTTCAAAATACATCATTATCCGACCTTTCAAGAATAAATTAGCTCAGTGTGACAGATATCATGTGCACGAATCAAAACATATCAAATAGCATATAAAGAGTACAATTATGAAATTTGTATAATGATGCATTTCCAAGTTCCCATTTTTGTACAGCAACAATTCTTTGAACAGCAACCTTTCAACTAGCACATCAGCACCATCAAAGTTAATAAAAAACACAGGATCCCAATTTCCAGTAAATATTCCATCAGAGTATCAAATCAGCATGTGAAGTATCATTGGATTATCACAAAACTATGTTGGTAAAGTTGGAATTTGGATGATCCCTTTGCAATAATCAAAAAGTTTTGCGCTTTGTTCTGGCTCGGGGAATTTATAATTCCATCAGATCATGCCACAAGCTGCATGCATGTAGAGTGGATTATCACAACCACAATGCTGGGACAGTTAGAATTTGGATGGTCCCTTTGCATCAAAGAATCAAGAAGTTTTTTGCTTTGTTCTAGCACAGGAATTTTATGGAAATAGAAGAGAATGGCTATAGGCAAATGACATGATTAATATCAACAGAAACTTACAGGCATCTCAGGAAGCAATTTGTATGCAAGAGCCAAGACCCGAGAACCTTGCCGTGTGTATTTCTTATATGTCTCCACATATGCAGCAGGTAAATCAACTAATCTCTCTTGGATGGTCTCTGGTGCACCCTGAAGATCACAAAATATAAGACACATGGATATTTCTAGGAAAAGAAGATCAAGTTAAACAAGATCTTGGAAAAAGAGTTAAAAGGAATCTCACAGGACCATCAACCAGAGAAACAATTTGACTGACAAGTTCTTATGGACTGAAATAAAAAATCATGCCTTCTTGTTTTCCAAATTATGAAACTCAACAGATATTGTGATTTTACTTTTTTTTTTGCCAGCTACAATATTCTCCCTTTTAACTGTGGTAGAAAGGAAGATACTGCACATGGCTACTGAATAACAGCTATTCTAATGTAGATTGATCCAACCATAGTTTCAAATGGAGCATTGGTTGCATCATTAGTTCACTGAGGTCCATATATTATTGACATTTTTTTTTCTGAAGACTTGACATTGCCGTTTTGGAAAATTCTAGAAAAGGATTTCCTTTAGTTAGCAGAAACAGAAGTGGGGCTCCCATGGTGATTTCATTCAACAAATTTAGTTCATATACAGGCAAATAAAGATAAAAAGTATACCATAGTCACACTAATAGAGAGTACACAGGCAATTTGAGATAAGACTTTTCAAAGATTTGCTCAAACTGCAGATGACCAAGATGAGCTCGGCTTTCAACTTTAAATAGATCGTGTGGATGAATGTTGGGGAGCATAAAAAAGATCTCTGCTGTCAATATAGATCTGATGAAAATTTCTGCCTTTTTCTGGAGCAATGGTATGGACAAAAGAGAATTGTCTTGTCATTTGCTCCAAACCTCAAGCGCTAAATATTCAATGTATCAAAACCCTATGAAGATCATTTTGGTTCCTCCAAGGTATAGATGTCTTGGAACAAGAGAAAATACTATGTTTCATTATGTTACAAAGAAATACTATGTTTCATTATGCTACAAGCAAATAATATGTTTCATTATGTTACAACTATGATCACATTTACATTCAAGGCAAAAAGAGACTGTTTCTGAACTACCCCAAATAGGAACTGACGGAGTAACAACTTGTGTAAAACCATGAGACCAAAATTTCATTGGATCTCTCAGAATTCTTACCTTAATGAAAGCGTAAAATTTCTCCTGAATACGGACGATAACAGACATTCTCTTCAAGTGAGAAGCAAAATGGTACCTGTGCACAATCTGTACAGGTTGACCACCAGGCCTGCGATGAAAGAAAACATGAATTAACACATACAATTTAATACCTTATGCTCGCAGTGGAGCAGGAAAAGCAGTAATAACTAATAACCACCCAAGATATTCTTTCCTGGTGACAACAATAATATTGAATTTTATGATTTCATCAGGTTCACTTGATCATAAGCTCACTTGCTTACATATTTATGCAGGTTAATACATACGACAGCTTACTTTTTAGACATGGCCTTCTCATCAGATGTGTAGATCCAGTCTATGCCCTTTATAGCAGCCTTTTCGAGGGGATCACCGACCTTTATTAAGATGAAAGATACCATCAAACGTTTTCACAATTACTAGGTTATACGTCAGACCTTCTAAAAAGCAGTTAGTTATTAGATAATTGCACACGACATACCAGCTTGTTGTCGACAAAAACCAATGCATGGCAACTGGAAAGCACTTCTTGAGTTCGGAGGGGCAACTTATTTGCATCAGATATTAACTCATCGTCACCTTCCAAAGTAACTATACCTTGGAATTCCTGAAACACAGGGTTTGTCACCCCCCCAGCTTCTGATTGAACAAGGAAATAAACTAAGCATATAACTTACCATATCATCTGATGTCAGAGTCCCTGTCTTATCGAAGCAGCATATGTCAACCTGATCAAAGAAAACTCTTAAAAAGCTTGAAAAGAAAGGAGAAACAGGGACTCATAAGGTTTCTTACTAACCTTCCCAGCAAACGGTATTCTGAACGGCTCTGTGCAGAAAATACCACGCCTAGCCAATGCAATTAAAGATGTGTTGACTGCTATGGAGAGCTCCATTGGCAATTCCGGGGGTATCACAGAAGTAATAATCAATGAACAACTCAATAACAGTTTATATCTACTCCTTGTTGGGTCCTCTAGTCCCTATACACAAATAAAACAACGGTTCAACAGAAGACAAGAGGAGGCAAAATGAGCTAAAGAATAGGATAAAAAATAATGATTCACTCTATAGATTGTAAAGTTACTGGTGTTACCTTCATAAGCACATAACCGGACGCAATAATTGCAAAGAAGAGCAAAAAGAGTATAAACAGGCCACTTTCCTTGTTATTTGCAGTAACCTGTTATTTTCATTAAAATGCAGGCATCAGATTTTCATGACTTCGGATAATTAACTTTCATTACTGAAGAAGATGTTACCCTCTCAGTTGAAAATAAGATAGTCCTCATCAATTTCCCTTGGCTAGTCTCAAATCCAGTCCTCAATACAAAAGCTAGGCAGCCACCATCAGGTGCTCGAAGAATTACAGACTAAAAATAAACATGTCAGCAACGGAATTGGGCACAGACAGCTAGCTCAGGAGATGTATCTACCTTATCTGCAGTGTGTTGCAATACTTTAGTGCCACCAAATAGGATATGGTTCTTATCCCGCTTTATAGATAGCATATCCTCAGGACCACGTCCAGCAATTGAAACCTATCAGTAGATGTGGTCAGAGCCAAAAAAAAACAAATAATTATGCAGTTAAGGCATAAGAATAGGGTTTTGTGCGACAAAAATACAGATGATATTGAAGCATACTGTCAATTTCATCTACTTCCCATAATGATTGAACTATTAATAGCTATACAAAATGAACTGGATATAAGCTTGGTTTTTCTACGGAACCAATGCCCTCCGGTAACTTGGTCGCAAATTTTAGTAGTTTCATGTAAAGCATTGGTTTTTAGTTTAATATTTAAGCACAGTTGACTGTTGTAAATTGTAATGGATTCAAACAGAATGTGCAAGAATGGCAAACTGTAATAGTCCAGTAAATGACTCTTCAGTTCCAATTTATAAACTAGAATGGCAACCAGGGCGTACCCAGTGCAGAGAGCTCCCGCTCTGTGCGGGGTCTGGGGAAGGGTGTTAGTGGCAAGCCTTACCCTCGCCTGTGCAATGCGAGGAGACCGCGACTCGAACCCGGGACCTTCCGGTCACAGGCGGTAAGACTCTACCGCTTGCACCAGGCCCGCTCTACCGCTTGCACTAGAATGGCAACCAGAATGCATTATTTAAAAATAGGGTTGAAAGCACAAACTGTCACAATGAAACTATTTTTTTCTAATTATTAAATGCATCCAAGAGAAAACAAAAGAAAACCTTCCACTGTGGAGTAGATTCTCCTGTAAGAATAGCTTCATTTATTATTGCAGACCCAGCTAACAATAGCATATCTGCTGGTACAGATCTATCTTCACCACTAGTTGAGCGACCTATTGACACAATATCTCCTGGTAGTAGTTCAGTTCCAGGGATTTTAACCCATCTGAACAAAGAACACGCAATTAGGATGGGATATATGCTGAAACAAAAAAAAAACTTAAATGAAATGGAGGATCCATACTTTCCACATCTATAGGTCAACACAATCTGGCTATCAACTTTCACACGTCTTAGCTCAGTCAATGTCTTCAGCCTATTCTTTGCCATAGTAGACTCAAACAGGAAAAGCATGAAAAGTGTAAACAAACTGTAGTACCAATACTCATCCAGGCACCAAAGAGCAACACAAAAAACCTGCATAAAGAAGCCCTCATTAAAAATATATAAGTGAGTTTACTAAGTATTGAGATAAAAGAAAGTAACCTGGAAAACAAAAAATGGTTCCATGATTTGCTCCTTCATTAATTTCTGAAATGTGGGCTGTGGATACTCGAATCTGGAGAGAACAATAAATATTGTCAGCCACTGTTGCTAGACAGATTCATATGGTAAAAGAGATCTATTATGTTCAATTTGATGCAAAAATCACTAGTACATTGGTTATTTGATTTAAGACATACAGATTCAGATGCAACCACGGCCACTGTCCATAACTGAAATTCCCTAGGCACATACTATGTTCTTACTTTAGTTCTACTAATAGAACATCTCTGCGGCAAATATTCCTCTATTCAGTATTCATAATTTGGAATTAAAAAAGTTGGATGTTGAAGATATTACTGCATCCTCCCACCAGTTTAGTCACAGATACATGTCGTTTTGGATGGTAGCGTGGTCTCCAAAATGCAGTGATCACTAAAACATATTACCTCCGGTCACAAAAAATTTGTCGTTTAGGACAAGATTTGGTCAAACATAAACCAGATACATTAATAAATACTCTCTCCATGCCAAATTGTAAAAACGTTCTGGACATAGTGTATATCTAAGTACACAGCAAAAGCTATGTATCTAGTAGAAGCCAAAATGTCTTACAATTTGGAATGGAGGGAGTAATACATTATTTTATTTGGTAGCATGTAAGTTATATGTGCCTATTTGTAATTAAAATGCTTGTAAAATCTCTTATATTTGAAGGATTTTAAGAATATAATATGGTCAAATATACGAAATGAAGACCATGCAAAGTCAAATGTGTCAAGTATTTGTGATCAGAGGGGGTATCATATTACATGTATAAAAAACAAAATTATAATAATTGCCAACATCCTTTCCCTACACAGATCCAGGAGTCCAATCTGAACACTTAGAATATTTATAGCCAAAAGTTGGATAGCAAGTATGTCCAAAAGGACAAGGATTTGTGATCAGACGAAGGGCCTGTTTGGATACACATGGCTAGTTACTAGTTGGGGCTAAAAATTAACCCAAATTAGCTGTGATTGGCTAGCTAGTTGGTTAAAAACTAGTTAAAAAAATATTAGCCCTCCTGTTTCGATGCACTAGCGCTAATTTGGGCTAATTTTTAGGTAGCTAGCAATTAGCCCTTGTATCCAAATAGGCCCTAAGTACAAAGGGAATCCACTATAGCAACAAGTTATGTAGCATATCCATGTATGCACAAATTCTTTCAGCTACTCGCCTACTCTTTTAAATCTAGTCCACAATTGAATCACCTGTTATAGTACAAGTCTACTTTGGATAACATGTGAAATAAACGTGCATTACAGGTCAGCAACACTCATCCACTCTCATAGTGGGTTCCCCATAAGTTGAATTGTGAATTTCCTTCAGGTAGTGCTGCATGGAGCAAATTTTAATATCCAATTGGGCATTGTTAGACATTAACCTTAAATTAAGTTCAGCCTTAGCCTCTTAAACTACATTTGTGTTTCTCGTGTTTGTTTGATCTCACGCAATTCTTTGATCTACGCAATTCTTTGATTAAAGGTTCTGTAGCTCAACAACTGAAAGCATAGAATGAAATAGGGAGGGAGCAGCGATGCAGCTTACACGCTTTCTACCCACTTATCCACAGCGGTGCCAATCTTGGCCTCAGTTCCATAACCAGTGCCCTTGGCATAATGACCGATCAACTCCTTCGTTGGGTACCGGAGCTTAAAAAAGTTATCTTTCTCCGCCGAGAAGATGAACCTCTGCTTCCGAAAATCAAAGTAAATCTCCTCTGTCTCACCTGCAGCCGAAGTTGAGGCCACCTGAACAAACACTCAAACAACACACTCAGTAACCCCCAAAGACAGCTGAAGGCGCAACAAGCTCTCAGGGGAAAAAAGGATTTTGAACTCACAACTCTCTGTATGTGCAGGGTACAATCTCCTTTGACCCCGAGAACTTAGCCGGAGTCACCTTACACGCGTTAGCGGCACGGATATCCTTGACCTACAATATCGCCAAGCTCAAGCCGTTCAGCCCTAAAATCTAAAGAATTAAAACAGATATGGATAATGCTGACTAGATGGGTTAAGGATTGAGAGGCAACTCGCCTTGGAGTACCCAACAAAGGCCCGGAAATCGACGGACCAGGCGGTGAAGAGGAAGGCGAGGATGTGAGCAGCGGAGAGCGCGGCAAGGACGATGAGAGCGTCGGTGAAGTCGAGCGCCGGGACGGCGAGCAGCAGCCAGAGCGCATAGAGCGCAAGGAAGGGCCAGAAGTCGAGGCGCGACGCCCAGTGGCGCCGCCGCAGCAGGTCCACGCCTTGCACCGACTTGCCGTTCACCTCGAACCGCGCCATGCCGGCGCCGCGGCCACCCGGATCGGAGAGCGCTGCGGAGCTGCCGAGAGTCTCAGATCGGGTCCTGATGCGGACCAAACAGGTGACACGAGTGGAGATTTGGGGAGGGTTTACCGATTCGGCTCGACGGGAGTCGGCCAGCGGCGGCGACCGGCGGTGGGGGGCGGGCGCCGGGCGGCGGCCGCGACCGACGCGAGGGCTTTTGTCGCCGCTGCTGCTTCGCTGCGCAGTTCTACTCTCCGGCTCGTCCTCCGCCTCGTCTTCAGTGGTTTTACGATGTGGAATCCCCACGACGATCTGAATTCTCGAGAGACTTTTCCTTTTCCTTTTCCTTTCGTAATTTAAGCAAAAGTTTGTGCCAAGCAAAAACAGGTGGATCCGAGAGAAACTAAACGGTTTGATGAACAAGATGCTAAAGTTATTAAAGTATAATAGCACGCTATTTTTAATTAGTTATATATATATATAGCTAGCAAACATGATGCATCTTTACGGTTTAATTTTTTTTTTTTAGTAAAGTGCACCAGCGGTCTCTAAACTTGTACTGTTGTGCCATCTCGATCCCTAAAGTTGTAAAACGGTCATTTTGATGTCTAATCACGGCTATCGTCTCATTTTAGTCCAACCAGGAGCCAGACTCGTGCTGTAATCTTGCAAAAAAAAAACCCAATAAAACGCGAGGGCCATTAAAAGGGCCTGGGGCTGCTCCTGTCCTGAGTCACGACTCAGGTGCGCCCGCCTCTCTTTCTCCGTCACCGTGGTCGACGGCGATGGCCTTGGGCGATCGAGCGGAGGTGAAGCGGAGACCACGACATATGGCCTTGCAGATATCAGAGGCAGTGGAAAAAGGTTGATGGTCCATAGGTGCAGCCACCTTTGTATGAGAAAAAAGTTGGTAGGCCTCCAAAATCGAGGAAGAAGCAACCACATGAAATTTAAGGCAAGAATGAACCCAAATTTTCTAAGCATGGAGTTATAACCCACTGCAATTACTGTACAGAGGCTAATCATAATAGTGCTGGATGCAAGTTTAAGAAAATGGGATTTACTTCTGCAGAAGCCAAAGCACTGGCTACAAATACACAAGCGCAGTTGCAAGCAGAGGCTGAACAAGCAGCACAAACAGGCTTCTCAAAATGCTTCTACGATTCCAGTACCAGATGAATCTAATGATCCTATCAACCAAGCCATATACCAAGAAATACCAGGTGGACCTCAAACATGGGCCAATACAACCTTGCTCAGTCAAATGCTATCATAGGTATGTTTGCTGCAACCACTAAATAATATGTCATGCTGCAACTAATTATCTAATGTGACATAATTTGTGTGGTACAGGAAACTCAAACATCAACTATTTCTACTAATGTTGGTCCACTCCCACATAATGAGTTCATCATGACAAACCAACCTGTGCAAAGGCTTATTGCATTGACCGCTTGCACCAAGGTTGGCAAGGCAGCCACACTAAAGAAGAGAAAGGCATCCACATCTACATCAAGGAGGGGCAGAGCTGGAGCAAACAAGAAACAGTTGGCTGCTGATGGTGGAGACAAGGGAGAAGATGGCATTAGTGTAGTCAATCAGCAAGACATGGTCTAATTAGTGCATTGTATAAGTCATCTTTTGTGTGTAAATAGGAAACACCAAACCACTGCTCTAATTAGTGCAATGTTTCATTCATCTTTTGGGAGTCTGAATTTTGTAAACATCAAAACCAGTAACCACATGCACAAAGGCAGGAAAGGCAGCTGCAGGTAGGAAGAGGAATGTTGCGGGGACAAGCTCCAAGGATGGAAATCAAGCACCTGCAAAGAACTCCAAGCCAAGAAAGAGAGCAGCAGCTAACAAATCATAAATGACAGGGAGCAGTGCCCAAGAAGTCTGTAGAAAATTTAGCAAAGATGTTGCACCTTTTGTTTAGACCTTTGCTAGATGTTGCAACAGCTTGTTTAGCGGCTAACTGTTAGCTTGTTTAGACCTTTTTACCTTGCTGGATGTTGCACCTTTTGTCAAAACAATTGTTGGATGTTACACCTTTTGTCAGTGTTGTGAAATGCCATCTCTTTCAGTCCACAATAGTGCTGGATTTTTTTGTCAATGTTAGGAAATGCCAGTGAAGTGGCTTTGTCAGTGTTATGAGATGCCAGTCATTTTTTTGCACAGGCAACTGACACTCAGATTTCAACCAAAATTTATTCATCAAATTTTGAGGTCACTTACATGTACCATTACTACATCCTAGTGAAACATGATTCACATACAGAATTCACATACACATACAGAAGAACAAAACACTTCAACAGAAGTATCATCTATGAACCAATTCCTAAGAAAAGCAGCGGCAATTGCTCCTGGATGAGATACAACAACTGGTGAAGGGGCTACAGCAGCATTAGCTCAGTTTTTGTGCTCGACAATTGCTCCTGTCTGCCTGTACATCCAGCGGCAGCTCCTTCACCAGCCCGTAGAGGAAGCAGCAGCCACGGCCCCGACGGCGCGCCTCCTGGACACGGCCTCCTATCCACGGCCCCTGACAGCATGCCTCCTAGACGTGGACCCGACGGCGCGCCTCTTGGACGCGGCCTGAGCCATGGCGACAGCGATGGCCTGAGCCACGGCGATGGCGATGGCTACAACCACGGCTGCAACCACGGCTGCCTCAGCCTTGTGCTCGCCACAGCAGCCTCATCCTCGGGCTCGCCACGGAGGCCTCATCCTCGTGATTGGCAGCAACAGCGACCCGGCGGAGATACGGCGGCGGCGGGCAGGAGTGAGAGCGAATGGGGATATTTTACTCCGTACCAATCTAAGGGGGTCATCTGCAAATATAACAACGAGAACACTTGGTTAGTACCATTTATGGACTTAAACGAAATCAAAACATAGATTAGGGACTTAAGTAGTCATTTTGAGAGTTCATGGACCGGCTTGACACAGTCCAACAAGTTTAGGGGCCGGCCATGCACTTTACTCTTTTTTTTTCAAATGACTGTGTCATACGTTCCAATTCACTTTGAAGAGGGTCTGTTTGGACTTGCAACGCCGCAAGCTAGACGTGTGTTTAGTTTATTGTTGTAATTGTGGCACACCGTACTTTTTTAGCATCTTGTCTCATATATTATAGATTTTTTTTGCCAAACTTTACCACAAATGTGGCTTCAATTTTGTTTGCCACGCTTTTTTATGGCAACCAAAGTTTTCCTAAGATTCACCGTGGCAAACTTTAGCATAAACCAAACAGGCCCTTGCTTAAACTCACATGAGCATTGGAGACTAAAGGCATGTTTGGTTGATGTACTCCATCTATCCTCATTGATCAAGTCGTATAAAACTAAACTTGTAGTATGTTTGGTTGGTTTCATACATTGACAGGTAAATACAGGCTTGTGGGATATGCTTGAATAGTCGAATTGAGCTTTTCTCCTGAGACTTAAGTCGATGGATGCAATATGAGGATGACAGACCCATACTCCATTCTCATACACTAGACAGATTGCATCCGCTTATGCATGTAACCAAGCATTATGAAAGTGCATCTAGCCCTTTAGTGGATTTTGGATTGAATGACAACATGATTAAAGGTCTAACCTATTTGCTAAATGTTGGACAGGAAGTTGGTTATCTCATAGGTACTTGGTAAAAGCCAAAATGATGTATTGTTGTGTAAACAATCTAGTTCAAACATAAGACAATGCAAATGTAATTCATATAAGACTTATTTGTTGTGGGATTTCTATGATTCATAAGAAAGAAGCATGTTGAGAATCAATTAATAAGACATGAGGGATTGCATATGAAATGATCTCATATTTGAAGCTTGCCATACATATGAAAGGATGGGTTATGGACTAAATGGATGATTCAACACAAGGTGTGACTTGTTGGCTCAAGTTGGTGAATATAGCAAGGAAAAGCTTCAAGGTACTAAGCAAAGGTGAAGGGCAAGCAACGGCTTGGCGACCGAGGAACTTAGTGCTAGAATAGAGCTTGTATTTTGAGAAGGGGCAAAAGGCCACCATATGTACATGTACAATATGTAGAAGCACCCTTATGCAATATGAAAATACAAAGTACACACGTATCTCTAACAACCCCTCAAACTCAGGGTGGATCACGAAAACTGAGTTTGGAGATAAAGAAACGATATTGAGGTCTTGTCTGTGCTTCGGTGAAGAAATCAGCTAATTGTAGTTCTAAGGACACATAGCGAAGAGCAATGACATCATCTTGGACTTGAGCTCGAGTGTAATATGCATCAACTCTAATATGCTTTGTGAGATCATGCTTCACCGGATCACGAGCTATGTTGATGGCACTGTGAAAGGTCCTAATATGGCTAGAGGGGAGGGTGAATAGCCTATTTAAAAACTCTACAAGGCACTAAAGCAATTGATTAGTACAACAAATGGAGTAATGCAATTTTGCTCTAGCTCTACAAGGGTTGCAAGCCACCTATCCTAACAATTCTAGTTGCTATGATCACTAGGCACACAACAAGCTAGGTCACTACTCACTAAGCTAGTATGCTCTCAAAGACTAACTAAAGAGCCACACTAACCAAACTAACAAGCTCTCAAAGACTAACTACACTAAAGAGCTTGACAACTAGTTTGCAAGGAATATAAAGGAGCGAGTAGGATGATTATACCGCCATGTCGAGGAATAAACCAATCACAATGTGAAGACAATAATCAATGGGAGAAATCCAATCACAAGAATGACACACGATTTTTCTCACGAGGTTCACGTGCTTACCAGCACACTAGTCCCTGTTGTGTCGACCAACACTTGGTGGTTCGGCGGCTAAGAGGTGTTGCACGGACCCCGTCCAACAAATGGACACCACAAGAACCTACCTACAAATAAGGTAATTCAATGACACGAGCAATTTACTAGAGCTACCTTGCGGCTCTTCGCCGGAGAAGGTGCAAGACCCTTCATAATCACCGGAGTCGGCCACGAACAATCACGAACATGTGCCTAAGCTCTTCCGCTGC